TGAAATTGTCGCTAACCCTATTACTAGTCTGTTTAACCTCTCTTTCATAATGTCTGAGATCCCCAGAGATTGGAAAGCTGCCGCGGTCATCCCCCTCTTCAAAGGGGGTGACACTCTAGATCCAAACTGCTACAGACCTATATCCATCCTGCCCTGCCTTTCGAAAGTATTCGAAAGCCAAGTTAACAAACAGATCATCGACCATTTCGAATACCACCGTACCTTCTCCGCTATGCAATCCGGTTTCCGAGCTGGTCACGGGTGCACTTCAGCCACGCTCAAGGTCCTAAACGATATTATAACCGCGATTGATAATAGACAGTACTGTGCAGCCGTTTTCATTGACCTGGCCAAGGCTTTCGACTCTGTCAACCACCGCATTCTTATTGGCAGACTAAATAGCCTTGGTTTCTCAAATGACTGCCTCGCCTGGTTCACCAACTACTTCTCAGATAGAGTTCAGTGTGTCAAATCGGAGGGCCTGTTGTCTGGACCTATGGCAGTCTCTATGGGGGTGCCACAGGGTTCAATTCTTGGGCCGACACTTTTCTCCGTGTATATCAATGATGTCGCTCTTGCTGCTGGTGACTCTCTGATCCACCTCTACGCAGACGACACCATTTTGTATACATCTGGCCCTTCATTGGACACTGTGTTAACAAACCTCCAAACGAGCTTCAATGCCATACAACAATCCTTCAGTAGCCTCCAACTGCTCTTAAACACTAGTAAAACTAAATGCATGCTTTTCAATCGAACGCTGCTGGCACCCGCCCACCCGACTAGAATCACCACTCTCGACGGGTCTGACCTAGAGTATGTGGACAACTACAAATACCTAGGTGTCTGGTTAGACTGTAAACTCAACTTCCAGACTCACATAAAGAATCTCCAATCCAAAGTTAAATCTAGAATCGGCTTCCTATTTCGCAATAAAGCCTCCTTCACTCATGCTGCCAAACATGCCCTCGTAAAACTGACTATCCTACCGATCCTTGACTTCGGCGATGTAATTTACAAAATAGCCTCCAACACTCTACTCAGCAAATTGGATGTAGTCTATCACAGTGCCATCCGTTTTGTCTCCAAAGCCCCATACACTACCCACCACTGTGACCTGTACGCTCTTGTTGGCTGGTCCTCACTACATGTTCGTCGTCAAACCCACTGGCTCCAGGCCATCTATAAATCACTGCTAGGCAAATCCCCGCCTTATCTTAGCTCATTGGTCACCATAGCAGCACCCACCCGTAGTCTACGCTCCAGCAGGTATATCTCACTGGTCATTCCCAAAGCCAACACCTCCTTTGGCCGCCATTCCTTCCAGTTCTCTGCTGCCAATGACTGGAACGAATTGCAAAAATCTCTGAAGCTGGAGACTCTTATCTCCCTTAATAACTTTAAGCATCAGTTGTCAGAGCACCTTACCGATCACTGCACCTGTACACAGCCCATCCGAAATTAGCCCACCCAACTACCTCATCCCTATATTATTTATTTTGCTCTTTTGCACCCCAGTATCTCTATTTGCACATAATCTCTTGCACATCTAGCATTCCAGTGTTAATACTATTGTAATTATTCTGCACTATAGCCTATTTATTGCCTTACCTCCATAACTTGCTACATTTGCACACACTGTATATATATTTTCTGTTGTATTTTCTGACTTTATGTTTTTTTTACCCCATATGTAACTCTGTTGTTTTTATTGCACTACTTTGCTTTATCTTGGCCAGGTCGCAGTTGTAAATGAGAACTTGTTCTCAACTGGCTTACCTGGTTAAATAAAGGTGAAATAAAAAAAAATAAAAAGTCGAGCAGTCATTTGAAAGAGTAAGAAAATTCTGGCGAGACAACTCAAAGGCGCAATCCATTAACGCCAAGATAATGGAATTCATTGCCCTTGACATTCTACCGTTCTCTGTCGCGGATGATGTTGGCTTTCGCCGACTGGTCGAGCACCTCGAGCCCCGGTACACACTACCAAGTAAGCGGTACTTTGCAGATGTTGCCCTACCGGAGATACACAGTATTGTTGAAACGTACATCCATGAGCTACTTGCTATGGGTGTCACTGCTATTAGCTTCACGACTGACATTTGGACCTGCGATGTCAGCCCCATGAGCATGCTGAGTCTGCCAGCACAGTGGGTCGACAAGGATTTCGTACTGAGGAAAGCTGTATTGTATGCTCAAGAATGTGCTGGTTCTCATACCGCTGCTGCCATTTCAATGGCATTTGAGAACATGTTTGAAACGTGGACAATCCCCAAGAACAAAGTGCATGCTGTGCTACGTGATAATGCACATAACATGACAAAGGCTTTGGAAGAATGCGGAGTTGCCAGTTTGCCATGCATGGCACACACGCCAGTGGCAACAGGTAGGAAGATAGTGGGTCATTTTAAACACTCACAGCTAGCATACAGCCGCCTGCAAGCAATACAGGAACAATAACGAGTGCTTGGCGTGTACGCAGCCGACTATGAGTTACCTGCAACAATCAGTACAAACCAGTGGACTCTCATTGAAAAGATGAACACACTCCTAGCTCCATTCGAACAACTGACTCGAGAAATAATCTCATCAACTGCGTCTGCAGCAGACGTGATACCCTCTGTCATGGCATTGAAACGCCTGCTCAACAAAACTGCCGACACAGACCGTGGGGTTAAAACTTGCAAAAGTACTCTACTCGAGGCTGTGAACAAGCGATTCGGTGGCATTCTCTCTGAGCCTCTTTACTGTGCCGCCACCACGCTCGATGCCAGGTACAAGTACCGCTACTTCGATGCAGACAAGAAACAGGGTTTACGTGAAATGCTACAGACACAGCTGGACAAGATGGAAATGGACACAGTGACAGTGCGCACCAAGGAAGAGGACCCACGACAGAAGAGGCCATGGACAGACAGAGCTGAAACTTCACTGCTTGACATGTATGATGAAATCCTGGTTGAGAATGGAACGACTGAACAAATTCACAACAAAACAGCACAGCAAGTACGTGAAAGAAATAGGTTTTTATGATGTTTTACTGGTAATGGGGACATACGTAAGTGCTATCAAAATAACTTTTTGGTCAGTGTGTGTGTGTGTATAGAGAGCCGCGTTGTATTTTCATTTTCTGTTACTACATCGGCCAACATTTGCCAATGTTGATCTATGCCTAATGATCCTTTGGAATGCAAAAAGAATGCAATATGTTGTCACCTAGAGATGCACCCCTCCTCACCTAGTCATGTTGTCCCTTGTCTAAAAAGTATTAGGCCTACCTTCAATTGGGTTTGTTGAGTGGTTTAGGGGTGACATGCCAGGCAGCCATGGATGCTGGTTGAGGTTTGCCTTAGAAAATAGGCTATATATGACAAACCCACCGATCTGTCTTTGTAGATAATATTGTAAAACATACTCCACCAATACATTTTTGGATCAAAGTTTCATGGCCATGTTAACTGAAAGATAATGTACAGCGTAGCATAGTAACTCTGTAGAACCTCAGGCCCTACCTGGGTAATGATCTATGCAATTCACAGGTAATCATGAAATACCTGGGCCTTGAGTGAACCTATAAGGAAATGTGATGGTAGCACCATGTTACAACTATTCAATCATTTACCAACCAGACTGAAGATAATCTGGCATACCTAGCTTTATTAGGCCTACTTCTCCTCATAATCATACCACTGAGTAAGCTAGTAGTAGGTTGAAACTGCCTCGGGTTAAGGCGTAGACCTACTCTATAAAATGAGATGGAGTTCTATCTAGTGAAATGAGATGCGCCTTCAGTTCACTGCTCTCACAATAGTCTACTAGACTGAGATTCCACTTCTTGTTGGGGATTAAAAAGAGTGAGGCTGTGTCTCAAAATGGCACACTATTCCTTATTGTGTCCTTCTTTTGACCAGGGCCCACAGGGTCAAATGTAGTACATCAGGGTTCCCCAACTGACTGAGACTGAGATTCCATCCATGGGCAAATCAGCTCCAAGTGATTTACATTTTGGAAATCTGTTCCAAAGTATTCCCACGCATAATAGAGAGTGCCCTCTGTAATTATTGGGACAGTGACACATTTGTTGTTGTTTTGGCTCTGTACTCCAGCACTTTGGATTTGCAAGAATGCAATGACTATGGGGTTAAAGTGCAGACTTTCAGCTTTAATTTGAGGGTATTTTCATCCATATTGGGTGAACTGTAGACATTACAGCACTTTTTGTACATAGTCCCCCCATTTTAGGGGCCAAAACAACAATAAACTTGTCAATGTCCCAATAATTACAAAGGGCACTATATATGTGATGGTATACAAATGTAAGCAAGGTTTGAAATGATTATGTTTTAGACAAATATTATATCAATTTGGGCTTCTTGTGGTCAAGTTGCAGTCTACAAATTATTTGTAATTATCTTTCAGCCTCCTGACCATCCACTCAAGAAAAATTGTCCCGCGGCTGAGTCTAGCTGATGATCCCTGTAGTATATTATATAGGAAATATTTGAAATACTTTTCCGTTGTATGCCCTAATGAACATGACCCTGTAGATTTGTATTTTCTGTTATTCCCCACCCCTGGTTGCAGAGCGCTGTTGGACCAATTATCATTAGCTGGAGATTATTACGTTTATGAAATGCTTATGTACTGCTTATGAATGCACATGGGTTATGAATGTGTTATGAAGTCTTTATCTAGGTGTCTTTACTTTTAGATAAAGTTTTAGTGTTTTTTAAATCAATTTCCAACTTAAGCGCATCAAATGAAACTGCACTTGTCTTTACGCTAAGCTGGCTACAAGTAAAGAGATGAGAGACTGACCTCGAGATGATCTTTCCCTGATCATGTCCTGACCTCAGTAACAAAGGTCTCCCTTGTAAAAGAGGTCTTCTAACCTCAATGGGACTTCCAGGTTAAATAAAGAGGGAAAGAAACTAATCCTATCGATGTGTCATGTCCCCTCCTCCCTCTCTCCTCAGTGACCCCGTGCAGCAGCAGCCACCATGGCAGAAGCTCACCAGGCCGTGGCCTTCCAATTCACCGTTGGGCCCGATGGCATTGACATGCAGCTGTGCCACGAGGCCCTGCGCCAGATCTACCTCTCAGGCAAGCACTCCTGGAAGAAGAGGTTCATACGCTTCAAGGTGAGGGGATGCAATTAACTAATTAGTCAATTAAGGCTAATCAGGGCTCAAGACTAACTTTTTCCCCAGTTGGCACTGATGCCACTAACATTTTTACAAAAATGTTGTCACGGCGTCACGCAATAGAAAACATTTGTAATAATCTTATGAAGTAATCACAGTGCTAGTATGATTCAAAAATATATATATATATATATATATATATATAATCATCAAACATGTCCAAGCAGCAATGCATGACACAATATATTTTGATGTGCAACCTAAACTAGTGATTGTCATGAATATTGGGTTGACAATTAGTATTTTGTTGCTATATTTTACTCTCAAAATATGACCCATGAATTTCTGAGATATTTTGTTCAGTAGAGATATATATATTTTTTGTGTATTGATATCACATAGGCTAATTTGGGGCTAATTCACCATCTGAGGAAGTGGAAACTTAAAACGCATTAGCTAGATTGCTAAATATAATATGCTACTAGCTAGCAATGTAATTGATTCATTTAACAGTAAATGTAATGTCCTAAAAAACTTGGCAGAACACCACCCAATGATGTCTATATAGGCCTATGCAATCACCGCGAATTGCAGATGCGCGCTTCCCGCGCTCCGTATATCTCAAAGCCATAAGCTACCACTTCGGTTTAAAATGGTGCTAAAACACTCAATATTGAGTGTTGAGAAGAAAATGTAATCTATGGTAACTTTGATAATTGATACTTGAATAACACAAAATAAATTGACCATGAGTTTCCAGTGAATAGACCATATCGTTTAAGAGAAAATAGACTCATTCATGAAAAAAGCATCTAATCAACAATGGCATTATTTTAAATTAACTCTGCAACTCTTCCAACTATTGACATTTTTCACAACTGCCACTAGTTTGGCGCTAAAACATTTACAACAAAGAAACAGTAAAAAAAATATATAAAGGATATTTCATGATGAAATCCTCATACTGTATTAAACGCCAATGGTATTCACTAAGTTGATGGTTTATAATTATTTGATCATTTTATATATTTTACATGTGATAAGGCCACACAGAGGGCAAGAGATAATTACAGACACCTGTGATAATCTGAAGTACCCAAAAGGGCCACTAGATGTCTTCTGATAAATTACATAAAATACTTGAAAGTTACCAAAATTCTGGTAGTTTACTGGTAAAATTCAAAAGTTTCCAGTAATATACCCTCCCTTTGCAACCCTAGGCTTACCTGTTCCTGAAAAAACTCATTTCTGGGGGGAAACAGATAAACCTAAGGACTTTTTGCCGAATAAGTCCGCATTCTAGGAGGCCATTGCATTCAATATTGGGGAAAGGGGATACCTAGTCAGTTGCACAAATGAATGCATTCAACCAAAATGTGTCTTCCACATTTAACCCAACCCCTCTGAATCTGAGAGGTGCGGGAGGGCTGCCTTAATCAACGTCCACGTCATCAGTGCCAAGGGAGACGTTTTTGGGGGTTAACTGCCTTGCTCAAGGGCAGAACAGCAGATCTTTCCACCTTGCTGGCTCGGGAATTCGAACCAGCGTCCTTTCGGTTGCTGGCCCAACGCTCCTAATCACTTGGCTACCTGCGAGAGGAAGTGAGAGTGGCTCGCTTGCCAGTGAAACAGGCAAAGAGACAGGGCAGACACTTTCATTGCAAGAATCTGGATATTGCACTTAATAGTTTGCTCAAATCACGGTTTTACCCGCTCAAAAAATAGAACGTTTTGAGTGAAGTGATTAGCTAAAATGTGTGGATGTAAATTCACTGTTTGCTGCCCCTTAGTTTGATCTTTATTAGTTTGAGATACAACAATAGTTATCTTTGTCAAGTTACTACTGAACCCATATGACCCACACATAAGCACATGTCAGTGTTAGTGACTGTTCCCATTCTATACAGTATGCGTGCGTTTCACCTTATCTGTTTGCAAAGCACACTCTTGTATCAGAACTCAGGATAAGACCCAGATGCAGACAGCTAGAATCACAGATGTTTATTGACCAAACAGGGGGCAGGCAAAAGACAGGTCAGGGGCAGGCAGAGGTCCGTAATCCAGGGCAGAGTCAGTAAGGTACAGAACGGCAGGCAGGCTCGGGGTCAGGGCAGGCAGAATGGTCAGAACCGGGGAAGCTAGGAAACAGAACTTGAGAAAACAGGAAGACGGGAAAGCACGCTGGTAAGACCTGAAAAGACAAGACGAACTGGCAACAGACAAACAGAGAACACAGGTATAAATGCACAGGGGATAATGGGGAAGATGGGCGACACCTGGAGGGGGGTGGAGACAAGCACAAAGACAGGTGAAACCGATAAGGGTGTGACACTCTTGAGTCATTAAAAACCCACTCTCTACATAGCAGCCTACAACGTTTGCTGTGTAATGTTGAATGTGAAAGTGCTGAATTGTATTTATGTGGCCCATTTTTACCTAGCCTGGTCCCAGATCTGTTTGCCAAACCTCATGCCAACAACAACCATAGTAGTTGACTACATACAGCACAAACATATCTGGGACAAGGCTTCTTTTCACCAGGATATGCTTATACAGTAGTTCCCTCGGACCCCAATGTAAATGTGATCTTATTGCCAATTAAATGGGTTGTTGTAATGCTCATTGTTCTCCCCAACCGTAATGCCCTTTTAATCCTGCATATATTCCTTCCCTCCATAGAACGGGGTCATGACTGGCGTGTACCCAGGCAGCCCATCTGGGTTTTTGGTGGTGGTGGTGAGTTACATGTCGGGCACTAAATATGCCCAGCTAGACCCCTCCCTGGGACTCATCACCAAACTGGGCACCCACATACCCATCAGGTAATTATAATATAATATAATATTCCATTTAGCAGACACTTTTATCCAAAGCGACTTACAGTCAATGGTAGTAGTAGGGCACTGCCATCTAATAATAACCCTGTCCACCAGGTCTGTTTACAAGGACAGATGTCTTTGGGTAACACTTTCTAAACCACCCCAGCGGTCAAAACTGGGTGAAATTATGTTGTTACAACCAGAAACTAGTTCAAATGACGTTATTATGATGTAATTTCAACAATTTTTGCCCGCTGGGACTATGAACTCTATGAACCACCTATGTGTTATTATGCATTAAGTATGCATTAATAAATGTGTTTATTCATTTCTATGCACTGTTCAAGAAACACTAGTATAAATGCATTATACACAGGTTGTTGAAGGAAGTGGAACCCCTTGGTTTATAAGGTGTCTACAGGGCTTAAACCATATTTTCAATGGATCCATGTACAGCAGGGTTGTCAAACTCATTCCATGGAGGGCCTAGTGTCTGCTGGTTTTTGGTTTTTCCTTTCAATTAAGACCTAGACAACCGGTTGAGGGGAGTTCCTTATTAATTAGTGACCTTAATTAATCAATCAAGTACAAGGGAGGAGTGAAAATACCCGCAGACACTCGGCCCTCCATGGAATGAGTTGGACACGTGATATACAGTAACTGTGTTGCAAGCAGTAGATTTAAATCAGAGAGGGAGGTCACTCAGGGCTCCCTCCACCTGCTCTTCATGCCATTACCTAAACTGACATGGATTAACAGGCACATTCATTCTGGAATGGTTCTCTGGAAAGCTTTGGAATGGGTTGGAAGTCTTTTCCGAACAACCCTGGTATTTAGAGTGCAGGTTTTTACATTTTAATCCAGCATTATGGCTCTGATGGCTCAGTTGGTTGAAACATGGTGCTTAGAACACTACATTTGTGTGTTTGATTCCCACATGGGCCACATACTGAATATACAGTGGGGAAAAAAAGTATTTAGTCAGCCACCAATTGTGCAAGTTCTCCCACTTAAAAAGATGAGAGAGGCCTGTAATTTTCATCATAGGTACACGTCAACTATGACAGACAAAATGAGAAAAGAAAATCCAGAAAATCACATTGTAGGATTTTTAATGAATTTATTTGCAAATTATGGTGGAAAATAAGTATTTGGTCAATAACAAAAGTTTCTCAATACTTTGTTATATACCCTTTGTTGGCAATGACACAGGTCAAACGTTTTCTGTAAGTCTTCACAAGGTTCACACACACTGTTGCTGGTATTTTGGCCCATTCCTCCATGCAGATCTCCTCTAGAGCAGTGATGTTTTGGGGCTGTCGCTGGGCAACACGGACTTTCAATTCCCTCCAAAGATTTTCTATGGGGTTGAGATGTGGAGACTGGCTAGGCCACTCCAGGACCTTGAAATGCTTCTTACGAAGCCACTCCTTCGTTGCCCGGGCGGTGTGTTTGGGCTCATTGTCATGCTGAAAGACCCAGCCACGTTTCATCTTCAATGCCCTTGCTGATGGAAGGAGGTTTTCACTCAAAATCTCACGATACATGGCCCCATTCATTCTTTCCTTTACACGGATCAGTCGTCCTGGTCCCTTTGCAGAAAAACAGCCCCAAAGCATGATGTTTCCACCCCCATGCTTCACAGTAGGTATGGTGTTCTTTGGATGCAACTCAGCATTCTTTGTCCTCCAAACACGACGAGTTGAGTTTTTACCAAAAAGTTCTATTTTGGTTTCATCTGACCATATGACATTCTCCCAATCCTCTTCTGGATCATCCAAATGCACTCTAGAAAACTTCAGACGGGCCTGGACATGTACTGTCCAGGCCCGTCTGTACTGCTTAAGCAGGGGGACACGTCTGGCACTACAGGATTTGAGTCCCTGGCGGCGTAGTGTGGTACTGATGGTAGGCTTTGTTACTTTGGTCCCAGCTCTCTGCAGGTCATTCACTAGGTCCCCCTGTGTGGTGCTGGGATTTTTGCTCACCGTTCTTGTGATCATTTTGACCCCACGGGGTGAGATCTTGCATGGAGCCCCAGATCGAGGGAGATTATCAGTGGTCTTATATGTCTTCCATTTCCTAATAATTGCTCCCACTGATGATTTCTTCAAACCAAGCTGCTTACCTATTGCAGATTCAGTCTTCCCAGCCTGGTGCAGGTCTACAATTTTGTTTCTGGTGTCCTTTGACAGCTCTTTGGTCTTGGCCATAGTGGAGTTTGGAGTGTGACTGTTTGAGGTTGTGGACAGGTGTCTTTTATACTGATAACAAGTTCAAACAGGTACCATTAATACAGGTAACGAGTGGAGGACAGAGGAGCCTCTTAAAGAAGAAGTTACAGGTCTGTGAGAGCCAGAAATCTTGCTTGTTTGTAGGTGACCAAATACTTATTTTCCACCATAATTTGCAAATAAATTCATTAAAAATCCTACAATGTGATTTTCTGGATTTTGTTTTCTCAATTTGTCTGTCATAGTTGACGTGTACCTATGATGAAAATTACAGCCCTCTCTCATCTTTTTAAGTGGGAGAACTTGCACAATTGGTGGCTGACTAAATACTTTTTTCCCCCACTGTATACTAACACACACACACACACACACACACACACACAATTTAACAAATAAACTAATCATCAAGAAACAGGTGTGTTAGTTAGTGCTGAACTAGCCCAAAATCTATCCAGGAGTATGGTTGGGGACCATTGTGTCAGAGAGATATTCACCTGTCTCACCATTTTCACAACCAAGAGGGCATGTACTCACCCAGTTCCCCTCTTTGTGACATCACCCTAGTGTCAGAGTTGAGTCCAGTGGTCCAGAAATATTGTAAAACCACCGATATGGTTCACCCATAGATTTGACATACATAGTCACACACTGAACATGTATTCCTTCAGGCCCTAATATTTGTGTTTGCATAACATTGTGCTAGTGTTGTCACAGTACAGTATCACAATACTCGATTTTCCATGACAAAAAAAGAAAACAAGAAGCAGATTGAACTCTATGGTCCTTTGAGAACCTGTTTTATACCAAATATTTTGTGCTATAGCTTAGAAAGTAAACAAATCAATTTGGGTGACAGCATAAGGCTGTTAGTTTTCAACATTAGGACTGTTTTGCTTCAATCTGCTTCATTTTTTGTTTCCTTGCCGTGATATAAATACCGTGATACTCAGTGTCATCTATTTTGACAACATTACATTGTGCTTTTTTTTTTTCAACGCTTGCATGTATGTGGCTTGCTGCTCTTGTTCTGATCAATATTATCATACATTATCTATAAGATGGTTAGCCTCCTTAAAGATAGGTCTATAGGGCAGCATTGAGATAAGGTGTGCATAGCGCAAGCTTTTGTTGAGACAAAATTCCATGTAGACATTGTCTTGTTATATTGCATATAATAACAATTCACACTGTACATGGGCCCATGGTGCGCCCATTGTCATAGATTCCGTGGAAATGTTTTCTGGTTTAGCACTGGTTGGTATTTTGATTGATTGCAGTGAATTTCATTTTATTGTGTATAACCAACCGCCTATTGTAAAACTTCAAAGGATTTAGCAGGTCATCTAGATATTCTGTGTACCAAAATCTCCCTCCAACTCCTTATCAACAACAGTTACCCCATAAAACTCCTAGCTGTTATAGGGAAGCAAAAACTCAAGCATAATTTATTCCACTACAGATAAAATGTATCATCTTCATCAATCATATTTTTAAAATGAGGTTTTGAGTCTGGCCAGGTTTTTAACATTATCATTTTTAGGTTGTTTCATAGCCTACATATTGCCTGATGTTGTCATGTCTGCAGGTACATGTTTATTTTGACCATCAATTCAAATACACACTTAGCAATGCCCTCCAACCAATGGATGTTAAGGGTTCCACGTCCAGGTTCCATTACCCCTCTTCCTGAATCCCTGTGTCCTTGTCACGTGCAGAGGACAACTTATCACATGCATTAGTGCTCTCTCTCTCTCTCTCTCTCTCTCTCTCTCTCTCTCTCTCTCTCTCTCTCTCTCTCTCTCTCTCTCTCTCTCTCTCTCTCTCTCTCTCTCTCTCTCTCTCGAGTTCGCTCGCTCGCTCTCTTTCTCCTTCTCTTTTACTCACTTTCTCTCTCTCTTTCTCTCTCTCTTTAGTGGGTATACAGGGTCGTATTCATTAGAATTCACGTAGCAAAACATTTTGCAGCGGAAAACAAAAATGAGTGTTTCTTATTGGACAACTCTTATTGGAGTGCCTCCCTGTTTCACTATGTTTCTGACCATTTTCTTCCGTTTCATGCCTACTGAACACGGCCCTGGTTGTACAAAACCAGCAGTATTCCTGTCAGGCAGTTTCTGACCCTGTCTCAATTCAATATAATTCAATTCAAAGGGCTTTATTGGTATGGAAAATGTTACCACATACATTGCAAAAGCAAGCATATAGAAACATTAAGTCAGTGGTGACGGAAATACATAATAAGAAAAATAATACTCAATGAACAATAGTGATTAACAGGACAACACAGTAATGATGTCTCTTTCTCTCTCTCTCTCTCCCTGTGCAGTCCGTACATGTTGGAAGACAGCCAGCGGGTGGTGGGTGGGGTGCTGGTGGGCACGGGCCTGTGGGTCACCATCATCTTCATCATGAGGAACGCCCTCAAGTGCCTGCTGTCGTGGCACGGCTGGATGTACAACCGCCACGGATCTGTCTCCTGGGGCACGCAACTCTGGATAGTGAGTTCAGAACTACGCTAGGCACATAATTCTTACTTGTTGAGGTGTTTCATAACAATAAGTCTAGTTACGTTTGAGTCAGGTGTAGATACCTTAGATACCAAATAAATACAAGGTTTATAGGAACATCTACCTTCACTATGTTCCATTTTATCCCATCTCTGTGCAGTAAACCTTTGTTACAATGTTGACATTCCTTCTAAATCTTAGTTGTTTTGATTCTTGAGAACTAGGAAGGTTTGCTGTTAGAATAGATCACATCAAGAACCCAACTAGCTTCTGCTGTTTTAAAATCGGCACTTTGCCACTTTTTTTTTTGTGTGTGTATTTTACCCTCTTTTTCTCCCCAATTTCGATCTTGTCTCATCACTGCAACTCCCCAACGGGCTCGGGAGAGGCGAAGGTCGAGTCATGTGTCCTCCGAAACATGACCCGCCAAACCGCGCTTCTTAACACCCGCCCTGCTTAACCCAGAAGCCAGCTGCACCAATGTGTCGGAGGAAACACTGTTCAACTGACAACCAAAGTCTGCCTGCAGGCGCCTGGCCTGCCACAAGGAGTCGCTAGAGCGCGATGAGCCAAGTAAAGCCCCACCGGCCAAACCCTCCCCTAACCTAATAATAATAATAATATGCCATTTAGCAGACGCTTTTATCCAAAGCGACTTACAGTCATGCGTGCATACATTTTTTTTTTTTTGTGTATGGGTGGTCCCGGGGATCGAACCCACTACCTTGGCGTTACAAGCGCCGTGCTCTACCAGCTGAGCTACAGAGGACCACAACCTGGGCCAATTGTGCGTCGCCCTTTGGGATTCCCGGTCACGGCCGGTTGTGACACAGCCTGGGATCGAACCCGGGTCTGTTGTGACGCCTCAAGTACTGCGATGCAGTGCCTTAGACCGCTGCGCCACTCGGGAGACCGCTTCGCCACTTTTTAACCTCATATTAATTATCTCTAGCACCATAAGTATCTACATATGAATATGAGCTTATAAAGTGGTGAAGTGCCCCTTTATTTGCTAGCTTGTCTTCACACACTTCTGAGTATGTACTTTCTATGCGGTCCAAACACACCGTTTAACCTTTATTTTCTTCTCCTGTAGCTAAATGTGTTCTAACGTGCATTGGTGTTAGTCTCAACAGTCTAACATCAAACCACACATGCCTAGAGATGCAATGTAACGTTTTCTGCTAGAGCAGTAGTAAAGAGCCAATCCATAATAAATAAAAAAAACGGCAGCCCTGGAACTTGGTTTGCTATAAAACAAAGAGTGATGAGGCTGGAGAAATGTAACCGCTCTCAAATTCATTAGTATAGCCTTTGAATTCATTAGTATATAGCCCTTTAATCATTTTTAAATGATAGAAAATGGCTGTAAAAATCACAAATTATGCCTTTAAAACCACTATTTTCTTGTAGATTGTTCTTGTGCACTTTGCCTTACATACAGTATCCAGGTTGGGAGGTAAATCACGAAGGTTAATTTTACTCTTCCCCCTCCACTCCTTTCACCCCTCCTCTCTTCTGCTCTGCTATGCTGTCGTTCACAGTTATTTGTCAAGTTGTTCTCTGGCAGGAAGCCAATGCTGTACAGCTTCCAGAGTTCGCTGCCAAGGCTGCCCGTCCCCCCGGTCAAGGACACCTGCAGAAGGGTGAGTTCATCCTATGATGATTTCATATCCTCTGATATCATATCCTGCGATGTCATATCAGTTGCTTAGATTACTGGCCTCTCTGAGGACACCACCACAGTGCATTCAGAGGAGTTGCTGTTACTCTGAAGCTAAATTGATAGTCAGATATTTTGGGAAAATTGTTAATCACAGATTCACATAAATGAAAGGAATTTCCATCAAGTAATCTGTAATCATAGGCTGACACCTCAGAGGTCTCAATAAGACTCTCTCTTTGCATCTCAGTCAATATGTCAATAAAGCGCCACTTACCTTTGAAAGGATAGTTCACTCAATAACAATCCTTTAGTATTTTCTTCATTAGTCCACTGTTAATTCAATTCCTTTGTTTTGTTGTTTGTCAGCAGTCACGTTTTCAAGATAGACCACTTTCAGTATAGGGTTGATGATGTGTTTTGCATATGATGCAAATTTGATTTTGGGATTGTATTACCAGTGGACTAATGAACAAAATACTAAAAATATAGTTTTTTGAGTGAACTATCCCTTTAAAACATCCACCCCAAGCCCCCAGTCACAGCTGACCAGACTCCAACGATGGGTTATTGGCTTTACAAGCAAATGCAATGATTATGGCCCGTTATGGTGATGATACTTGACACTAGGTTTCGGTTACACAAAAAGGCGGTTGTGGAAAAAGGAGAGGAAAAGAGCCTTTGCATCCAGCCGTCGTTCCCTTCTCTTCCTGGTTGAATGCATTCAGTTGTGCAACTGACTAGGTATCCCCTTCCTTTCCCTTTCCTGAGACCGTGTTGCCCCAGGAAGTAATTGTTTAACTGGCAACCATACCACCCTCCTCCCTCGTCCGCATCACCCCCCCGCACTGTGTTATTTACATAGAACTCTACAACCCCTCTTTGTTCATCCCCTTACATGTGTATTGTAAAATGTGGTACACAAATAGTATTTTTTTTAACAATATATTTATTGTCATATTTCAATTTCAAAAAACAACAGAAAACATAATAATAATGACGTGGTTGAGTTTAAATATTGCACCCTAACCTTATCTCCTTCCTTTCTCTGTGTGTGTCCTCCAGTACTTGGAGTCAGCTCGTCCATTGATGGATGACGAGCAGTATGTGAGGATGGAGGGTCTGGCCAAGGAATTTGAGAAGAACCTGGGCCCAAGACTACAGTGGTACCTCAAGCTCAAGTCCTGGTGGGCCTCCAACTATGTGAGTCTGTCTGCACCTCCTTGTTTGATATATGGGTTATATACATTCTAATGCTGTTTAATGTAGGTTCATGACTCACTGAATAATCTATATTAAGAATATATAGAATATTCTTTAGCCTAGCGCAGGCTGTAATCATCATGACACAGGGCTTTATTTCTTTCTTTCCCCCTTTTTCATATTTCATCTCTCTCTTTATGTCTCTCTCTATCTCTCTCTCTCACTCTCTCCCTCTTTCTCTCTCTGTCTGTCTTTGTCTCTCTCTCTCTTTCGTTCTCTCTCTCTCAGGTCAGTGATTGGTGGGAAGAGTACATCTACCTTCGGGGTCGTGGGCCCATCATGGTCAACAGTAACTACTACGCCATGGTAAGACATCTCTCACCTAGCAGTGGGTTGTGTGAGATTCCCTTCCAAAAGTGTTGTTAAGGGTGAATTTACCCAAGTAAATGTGTGTATTGACTATATTGAACATGTCTGAATGTGAGTATGCTGTAACTCTGTACTGTAGTTGTGAGTATAGACAGACAGAATGTAGTAGACACGACAGAGCTGTAGGTATTTGTATGGAGCCTTGTCCACTGTTCTATATCTGTTGTGCATAACGTTTCACATGCTCATCACAAGGCAGTCTCTGTCTTATGCAATGTAATGGATGAATGGTTTGTGCCTCTCGAGTTCCCGTCTCCAGATTGTTGCCCTAACCTAACCTTTTTCACAGGGCCGTGCCTATGTTCGTTCTTAGATCTGTTGTAAAGCATTTTTTGTTATATGTTTAGTCATTTTTAATATATTATTTTGCCATTCTTTAGTATTTTTTGGTTTTTCACTTGGTATTCTCCCCAAACATAAGCTCTATCACTGAGCTTAGAGACATTTCCAATGTGTTTGTTGTTTTGATTACTGTGTCTGAGGAAGAGATTAACTGATGGACTGCGGCTAGGTTAGGGTGTTCAGACGTCTGTCTATTATTTGATTAGCATGTCTGAACTCTATTCCAGTGGGCAACTGTAAACAAGATTATGTCCCGTAAGTCTGCCGCAAACTTTGACCCAATAACTGATCTAACACGTATGCTAAAGGTGGTCCTCTGTAGCTCTGCTGGTAGAGCACGGCGCTTGTAACGCCAAGGTAGTGGGTTCGAACCCCGGGACCACCCATACACAAAAAAAAAAAAAAATGTATGCACGCATGACTGTAAGTCGCTTTGGATAAAAGCGTCTGCTAAATGGCATATTATATTATTATTATTATTATTAAAGGGATACCTCATCTAAATTACAATGTTTTATGTTATGGTTCCTGATTTCATGTGCTAGGAGAGATTGTGATCCATACTCCCCTGGTTTGTATACATAGTGCCACAGCCACTATTCATAGTGTTGATGACAAAAAAAAAAAAACAGTTCAGTAAGCATGAAAATGAAGAAACAGGGAGAGACTATCTGGACTTGTTCAGTAAAAAATGCTCATTTTCTTTTTCCGTTGCACAACGCTTTAAAATGTTTTGCTACGGTGTGCCTTAATGAACACAACCCAGGTAGCGCAGTCTTATATTCATGCACAAATCAGCTCAATGTAAAGGTGGCAGTGGCTAAAAAGTGTGGATTGTAGTCTCTCATGGCCCATATATTTCTTTATAGAGAACCATTTTATTTTTATTTTTTTCCTTTATTTAACCAGAGAACTCACATTGAGATTTACATCTTTTTTTCAAGTGAGCCCTGGCCAAGAAAGCAGCATACATATATATACTGAACCAAAATATAATACAGAACCAAAATATAATACTGAACCAAAATATAAACGCAAGATGTAAAGTGTTGGTCCCATGTTTCATGAGCTGAAAGACCCAGAAATGTTCCATACGCACAAAAAGCTTATTTCTCTCAAATGTTGTGACAAAATTGTTTACATACCTGTTAGTGAGCATTTCTTCTTTACCACGATAATCCATCCACCTGACAGGTGTGGCATATCAAGAAGCTGATTAAACTTTACAAAGGTGCACCTTGTGCTGGGGACAATAAAAGGCCACTCTAAAATGTGCAGTTTTGTCTCACAACACAATGCCACAGATGTCTAAAGTTTTGAGGGAGTGTGCAATTGGCATGCTGACTGCAGGAATGTCCACCAGAGCTGTTGCCAGATAATTTAATGTTAATTTCTCTACCATAAGCCGCCTCCAACGTCGTTTTAGAGAATTTGGCAGTACGTCGAACCGGCCTCACAACCGCAGACCACGTGTAACCACGCCAGACCAGGAATTCCACATCCGGCTTCTTGACCTCGTTTGCGGACAGCTGACGAAACTGGGTTTGCACAACCGAAGAATTTCTTCAAAAACTGTCAGAAACCGTCTCAGGGAAGCTCAACTGCGTGCTCGTCATCCTCACCAGGGTCTTGACCTGACTGGTGTTCAGCGTCTTAACCGACTTCAGTGTGCAAATGTTCACCTTTGATGGTCACTGGCACGCTGGAGAAATGTGCTCTTCACGGATGAATCCCAGTTTCAACTGTATGGCGTCGTGTGGGCGAGCGGTTTGCTGATGTCAACATTGTGAACAGAGTGCCCCATGGTGGCGGTGGGGTTAAGGTATGGGCAGCCATAAGCTACGGACAACGAACACAATTGCATTTAATCTATAGCAATTTGAATGCACAGAGATACCGTGATGAGATCCTGAGGTCCATTGTCGTGCCATTCATCCTCCGCCATCCCCTCATGTTTCAGCATGATAATGCACGGCCCCATGTTGCAAGGATCTGTACACAATTCCTGGAAGCGGAAAATGTCCCAGTTCTTCCATAGCCTGCATACACCCATTGAGCATGTTTGGGATGCTCTGGATCGACGTTTACGACAGCGTGTTCTAGTTTCTGCCAATATCCAGCAACTTCGCACAGCCATTGAAGAGGAGTGGGACAAGGTTCCACAGGCCACAATCAACAGCCTGATAAACTCAATGCGAAGGTGATTTGTCGCGCTGCATGTGGCAAATGGTGGTCACACCAGATACTGACTGGTTTTCTGATCCACGCACCTACTTTTTTTTAAAGGTATCTGTGACCAACAGATGCATATCTGTATTCCCAGTCATGTGAAATCCATAGATTAGGGCCTAATGAATTTATTTCAATTGACTGATTTACTTATATGAACTGTAACTCAGTAAAATCTTTGAAATTGCTGCATGTTGGGTTTATATTTTTGTTCAGTGTAGTTACATGAGACACAACACTACATAAAACATAAAAATGGATAGAAGTTAAAACAGTGCAAGTGCATAAGAGAGCTTAAAAGAGCAGGTTTAAAAACATGTGCAATCTGTGGTCAGCAGCCCTCATATCTGGGATTTAAAATTATCATTCAGAGTAAATTAATTATTCTGAGTGTTCCAAGATGATGTGGCAGCAAAGCTCAAAGCACTCTAACAACACTCACTTCTTGTATTGGGAACGTTATATAAAATACAGCTCTGTGATCTCATACTGTAATGTCCCTGACTCTGTAGGGTGAGTAAAGTGCTTAAATATATTGGCAGCTGCCCTAAAATGGCCTTGTAGCCAAACATGTCCCTTGCAGTTAAGTATTTTTTAAAATATTTTATTTAACCTTTATTTAACCTTTATTTGAGGGCCTAGCAAGAGGCAAAAGGCCTCCTTTGAGGATGGGGGATAAAAAAACACACAAAAAACAATGTAAGACAAAACGGACAACACAGACAGAAAACACTGGCAACAGCACAAATACAAGAGCAAACAAACAGTGGATATGTATATGTGTGAGCAGGCATGTGTGTGAAGTAAAACAACATGCTTCCTTACATAAGGCAACGCAAACTAGTGACATCGGGTGACAAGTAGAAACAACTATGACCATCCTGCTAACTGATATAAGGTACAGTGATGTGTAAGAGGTCTTTTGTTTGTTACAAATCTTAGTGCAGTGTGGTAAAGTGTGTCTAGTGTGTGCAGGCAAGACCCTGGGGCATTCATAGTCCAACAAAGGAAAAAAACTGTCTGCAGCAAAGTCTTTTCTAGCTTGAAATGAAAAACAAGACTTGTTCCTCAAGAAAAAGCCCAGATGAAAGGAATAATCAACTCAAAAACCGTATTTTTGTATTTTTTTCATTAGTAAACTCTCCTTCCAGACTCACATTAAGCATCTCCAATCAAAAGTTAGATCTAGAATCGGCTTCCTATTTCACAACAAAGCCTCCTTCACTCATGCTGCCAAACATGCCCTCGTAAAACTGACTATCCTACCGATCCTTGACTTCGGCGATGTCATTTACAAAATAGCCTCCAACACTCTACTCAGCAAATTGGATGTAGTCTATCACAGTGCCATCCGTTTTGTGACCAAAACCCCATATGCTACCCACCATTGTGACCTGTACGCTCTTGTTGGCTGGCCCTCACTTTATATTCGTCGCCAAACCCACTGGCTCCAGGTCATCTATAAATCACTGCTAGGCAAATCCCTGTTTTATCTTAGCTCACTGGTCACCATAGCAACACACACCCGTAGTATGCGCTCCAGCAGGTATATCTCACTGGTCATCCCCAAAGCCAACACCTCCTTTGGTCGCCATTCCTTCCAGTTCTCTGCTGCCAATGACTGGAACGAACTGCAAAAATCTCTGAAGCTGGAGACTCTTATCTCCCTCACTAACTTTAAGCGTCAGTTGTCAGAGCAGCTTACCGATCACTGCACCTGTACACAGCCATTCTGAAATTAGCCCACCAAACTACCTCATCCCCATATTGTTATTTATTTTGCTAATTTGCACCCCAGTATCTCTATTTGCACATCATCTTTTGCACATCTATCATTCCAGTGTTAATACGAAATTGTAACTATTTTGCACTATGGCGTATTTATTGCCTTACCTCCATAACTTACTACATTCGCACACACTGTATATATATTTTCTGTTGTATTTTTGACTTTATGTTTTGTTTACCCCATATGTAACTCTGTGTTGTTGTTTTTATCGCACTGCTTTGCTTTATCTTGGCCAGGTCGCAGTTGTAAATGAGAACTTGTTCTCAACTGGCTTACCTGGTTAAATAAAGGTGAAATAAAAAAATAAAAAAAGTCCACTGTTGATGCAGTCTCAAAATGTTTTGCAATGCAGCAGTCAAGTTTTCAAGATATAGGATTTTCTAAAAGCGATGTGTAACTTGCCACATCATCATGATGATGTGTTTTGCATCATAGGTGGCAAGTTTTATCTTGGAAACTTGACTGCTGACATGCAAAACATTTTGGGACTGTATTAAGAGGGGACGAACAAGAAAAATAAAAGAATGATTTGGGGTGAACTATTCCTTTAAGGCTTCTAAGCACTTTATGACGAGGGACTACTTCACCATGGGTACCATAGTGGGGCTCATTATAACCACCTTTCATATTTCCTTGGGAATACATTGCCACTTCAGTCGGCATGGTTATGGGCCTGGGGTTATTAATATCTCCAAAATACAACCCTCTTTTGTGTATAGAGTATGTGCCAAACTGATGAAAACCAAAACCCAGTAAAACAGGAATGTACTACCTGGACTTGTTCAATAAGAAATAAATGCCACACCTGTCAGGTGAATGGATTATCTTGAAAAAGGAGAAATGCTCAATAACAGGGATGTAAACACATTTCTGCACAAAATTGGAGCGAAATAAGCTTTTTGTGCAGATGGATCATT